CAGGCCCGTGCTGGGTTCCGTCTGCCATGTCGTGGGCCCACGGGCCTTGAGCACAAATGCAGAAGCGAAGAGCTGTCGAGGAGTGGGGCCCTCTTTCCCGCCTTTGCTCGGGGGGCAGCCTGTAAGGTCTCCATCCAAAATACGGCCTTTTTGTTGTGGCTGGACCAGATAACTAAAGGTGCCAAGAATCTCAAATTTGGAGACTTTTTTTTGAGCCTGGGAAGAACTGTAGTTAAGGTTAGAATTAATTACTACAGAGACTTTTGAAATACATAGTGATTATGTACTAACTGATTAACTTGCCTTTCTTCCCGGGCAGCTGTCAGCGTTTGGTCAGCAAATGTCTCCACACCACGGAGAGGTTGCTGAAGAAAACTGGAACTGAGCACTGGTGGTTGGAGCGGCACTTGAAAGATCCCTTTGTCAAGGCAACAAAGCGGCAGCATTACCGTTGCCGAAGTGCCTTCAAATTACTGGAAATTGATGATAAGCTTCATATTCTTCGCCCAGGACTTTCTGTTCTTGACTGTGGAGCTGCGCCTGGTGCTTGGAGTCAGGTTGCTGTAGAGAGGGTAAATGCCTTAGGTACCGGTAAGTGCACGTTTTTGGCAGGCAAGGTGGGGATGATGCTCATCTTGAAGTGTGTGAGAAAACTCAGCTGTGATGGTGGCAGTGTGAGGAAGGGACATGGGTACTGGCAAACGCTAGAGTCACTGATGAAAGTGTGAAGATGTGTGCCTATGTGGCAGTGAAGAATAATAAATCATCATATGGTGTGGAGAAATCGTATTTGTGAAACAAAAACTTACCATGTGGTGCTAGTGTTCTGATCAACTGTTGTGGGGAAGATCCCTTCATCCAGTTCTGAAATTGCTGTGGCCTCCAGCAGGTAATTTGCTTTTCTGAATTTTTATTTACCTTCTTGAAAAATGGTAGTAACTGCTACATACGGTTTATGTGGTTTAAGCCGTTAATATTTACAAGATAAGGTGCTATGATCTATACTGTTGTCCAGGATTTCTGGACTGTTGGCCTTGAAAGAGCAGAAGAAAAACAAGAAAAATACCCCTTGCTTATCCAAAGTGAGTTTTCGTGTCTTAAATGGATTAGATTATATCAAACCATCCATCCAGATGCACGCAGCAAACTGTCTCAGGGCAAGAAGACCTGGCAGGTGATATGTTTTTGGTTTATTGACTAGCATAATGCTCGTGCATATACAGGTTGTTTGCAACCATTATGAATGTTCAGTGTGTCATTCGTTCTTATCATCTAGATCCTGCTGTCCCCACCGGCTTCGTCCTTGGCGTTGACCTCCTGCGGATTTCTCCTCTGGAAGGAGCAGTCTTCCTGTCGGAGGCTGACATTGCAGACCCAAGCACGCTGAGGACAATTCAGTCTCTGCTTCCTGCAGAGAAGGTGGATGTTATCTTGAGTGACATGGCACCTAATGCGACAGGCATTAAAGAGCTGGATCATCAGAAGCTGATCAATTTATGTTTAGGCCTTCTGAATCTATCCCAAATTATTTTAAAGCCAAAAGGAACGATGCTCTGTAAATTCTGGGATGGATATGAGTCCCGTCTTCTGCAAAACAGACTGAAGGAGCAGTTCCAAGATGTGAGAACTATAAAGCCTCAGGCCAGCCGGAAGGACTCTGCTGAATCTTACTATTTGGCAAGAGTGTACAAAGGGAAATGAAAGCTGAGAACCGCCGATTATCAAACAAGTGACCAGACATTGATTGGATATCTGAATTTGGCATGTGTTTAAAGAAAAATCCCACTATTAAGACCCTGGGAAAATCTGCCACAATTCTTACAAAGTACATCATGCTTTTCAAATACAAAAATAAACCAGGTGGTATCCTGCTGAGTTTATCCACTAACTGTACAAGCAGAGACATCCAATCTAGCTTCTTGCCTGTGGAGAAAACGGTTGGGAATGGAGAAGAATAACCTGAAAGGCAACCTCTGGGGCTGGAGTAATGGAAATGAAAATAAAGCGGTGATTATATGAGTTTTTAGTGTGTGCGTGAAAATCATTGGGCTATTAATGTTGTCATATATGAGACTAACCATAAAGGCAGTTGTCAGAATCAGAGGGAACAGCAAGGGGAGTTTGAGCCAATTTACTGCCTCTTCATCTTTCTTAAAAGCTGGTGCAATTCATTAGCGCATGTAAAAATAAATAACATTGTCATGGATGTCAAGATCTGCATCGTCATGTACGATCTGTAACACAGCCACTCAGGATAGATGACTGACTCTGGAATATTTAGCCTCATGGCTGTGCTGCATTTTCTAAAGACACAGGTTATATTTAGAAATTGCTACTTCATGGTACTCATAAATCCAGTAAGTGACAGTAGGGCAGGGTCATTTCTACCAAGAAGATAATTTCCCCTATGTTTTCGGTAATGTTTTATTTGACCAATGATGTTTCTTAGGTGAAATGACAAGATGTTCCTTGGATCCCAGACAGGGAGAATTACTGATTGAATTGCTTCAAATCTGTTTGCAAAAATAAATTTAGCCACTGCCTTATCTGGAAGTGACAACTTTTACATTAAGTAGCACTTTTATCAGGCCGACTGTGGCATGAGTTATCAGAAAGGCTGGTAGCACTGTCTGTTTTTAAGGCTTCCGGATCTTTCTCGTCGTAAACATCCCATTTGGGATTGCTTACGGATTTATCAAATTTTAACTGCTTTGAAACCTCCAGATCTGGATCTCTATACTGAATGGTATGCGTGAAAGTGTTAGCCCAACAGCCTAAATGGGGGAGGTGGCTGTTTCTACATGTTTGACAAGGAAAAAAAATGATGTCAGTCCGTTCTTTGAAAAACTTTATTACCTGCGATTCGCAATAGGAACTGGAGCCAGCAGGGCGCTGGCTCGGCGTGTGCTTTCCCTGCTGCGGCTGCATTTGCGGCGGGGCAGGCGGGCCCTGCCCGTCCCTGGGACGGAGCGGGGGACACAGCGGT